GGAGGGAGGCGAAGGCTGGAAACGTGGAGGAGGGTCCCGCTCCCGGGCGCAGGGGCCGGGGAAGCCGGCGAGCCCCCGCCCAGCCGTCCCGTGCGGCCCCGGCGTCGCAAGTCTCCAGGATCGGGCCGGGTCCCGATCCGGAAGGGCAGAGCCTGCAGCCTCCTTGCTCCGAGGAAGGCTTCCCACTCCTGGCGGCGGCAGGGGAGACGCGGAAAGGACGGCAAACCCGGGGAAGGGGAAGAGCGCGAGCTGGAGAATCCCCCCCCCCCCCTTAAATGTCTTCTTTGGTGTTTTTTAAGTTGTCTTGGGTTTTTTGTTGTTTGCTTGTTTTTTTGCCCCGGTTGGTGTATTTGTCCGAATGAAACCAATTAAATTCCCTAGAAGGAAAATACAAGAAGGACCGTCCAGCTTGCTCCCACCCAGTCTCTGGGCTCAGTTGTAAGGGTGGATATTTGTCGTGGCCACACGTAGGTCACCTCGGATTTAGAAAAGGTTTTCCCCCTTGGACACTTCCAAAGCAACTTGGACTTACACTAAGAGCCCTTTGATCTTGACGCCATCCCTGTGCATGAAAAGCCAGCCGAGCCCAGACCCAAGCCGACACTGACATGCAAGACACGAAGCTGAAGGAAATTCACAGGCTTGAAGAAAATGCGAAAAAATAGATATCTTACCTGGCTTTTTGGGGGGGTGGGAATCCTACCCATGCCCTGATAGCGTATCTGCTGAAATCCTAGTGGACAGTTGCGAAAGGCTGCAGCCGGGATTGCTTTCTGCCCTTTTTATACCACGATAGCCAATTAATATTGCATCACCCTTATTTTAAATTTTCAAAACCCACAATATAATGTAATGGCATAAGGCTATTTATTATTAAAGGACATTTGATTGGGGGGGGGGGAATCATTGGGGCTGATCGGGAAAAAAACAAAAGATCTAGGAAACGAAGAGGTGCTGTATTCTGGTTTCTTAGGAGTCCTAAACTTGAAAGGCTGAATTTTGTAAGGTGCTTCCCCAGCAAGCTGGAGTGGGGGGGGAAGACCCCCGGTTTAAGGCCTCTCATTGAAGTGCTACGGTGAAATATTCAGAAGATACTTGGGCGTCCATCATTAATTTTTAATCGTTAAGGTGCTTCTGGGAATCATAAATAAAAAGCCCTCTTCCCCCCCCCCCTTTTAAACAGCATTAGAAATGAACCTGTGATAGAGTTGTTTGAGGGAATGTTTTAATGCCATTTTCGAGAGGGAAATTTCGTTTGGGCCAGTGACGAAGAAAGCGTCTTTCCCTTCCGAAACTTAACTAAACTTTGGTTTTGCAGAGGGAAACCCGGTCCGAGTCCTCCCCGACTTGCAGCGATCCTCGTGCCGCTCGGCAGCTAGTTAACAAACACGACAGATTATCCGCGCACGATGACCTAGAGGAATGTGAACATTTCCGCCGCCCAGGTGGACAGAATATATTTCATATATGTATAAATATAAATATATATATTTCTGGGACAGAGACATGATCACACTGAAAAACAAGATCGAGGCAAATCAATACATGGAAAACACAACAGCAACGAGACAAGCGGGTGAAACTTTCCAACTCCTCCACCCAACCCTAGCAATCAGGATAAGTGAAAAGGAAAATGACATCGTCATCCAAGCGGCTAGTCAAAACGCAGAGCAATGACAACAGCCACAGCAGCAGTGCAGCTGGTAAAGTTGATCCAGTATGACTTTTAAGCCCCTTTCCACTCTCCAACAGAAAAGCGCGAGCTGCAGCTCACCAGTAGCATCCCGCCCTCGGTAGCACTTTGCTCGGGCGCTATCCCCCCCCTTCCCGCTGTGAAAAAAGGCTCCATTCGGGTTGAAAAATAAAGCATTTATTTCAGAAATGAATCCAAGGGGAGGGGCGGTCGGACAACACTTATTTCTGGGGGGATTCCGAGGGCAATAATAAATAACTAAAGACGGAAGAGGAAGAGGAGGCCACACAAGCACTCAAACTATCTGGGATAAAAACTAGAAGTCTGAAACGGGCAGGGTGAGAGGGACCCCGACAGAGCCCCGGTCAGCTCTGTGTGCTACACAAACGGAGAGCCGGGCTCGCACGGGAGGATGAACTCGGATCGAGCACGAAGGGGGGCGGGGTGGAGGGCCGCTTGCCCCGAGTCCGCGGAGTCGCGGGCGGCTGCGGGCTCGCGGGGCGCTGAGCAAGTCCGTGGTAGGAGCCGCAAGACACGGAGCCGCGTGGGAACAAGCCCCGACTCTTCCCGCAGTTTCGTCTCTTTCCCTTTCTTCCTTATTATTTTTTCCTAGCAAGGCAGCAACTCAAGGAGTGACTTGAAAAAACCCCTACAACTCTAGCTAGTGAGGGAGTGGTGGTGTGTGTGCGTGTGCTCGGAAGAAAAATCAGAGAAAGAGCAGCCCAAGTACGTCGCTGAGTAAAAACAGGTTTCGTTTGCTTTCCCTGGACCAGCGGCCGGAGTAGAAAAGGAAAGGACTGGCGTCGGACCCCGGGCGACAGGCGGCCGCGGCCGGGGGAGCCGGAGCGGGCAGACGGCGGAGCCGGGTTAACCCGGGTGCAACCGGGACTTTCCGAAAACAGCCTCTCTCCTTTCCAAATACCATTCGCACATTTCCATACCCCCCCCCCGCACCTTTCCCCTTCAAATCTAGCCTTTCATTTCTTATTGCGATGCAGTTGGAGAAACCAAACGACCCCCCCCCCCGCCCCCGACAGGCCCCCCGCCCGCCAACGGGCGACCCCCCCCACACCCAG